AGGGAAAGGCTGAGAGAGTTGGGGCTGTTCAGGCTGTAGAAGAGAAGGCTTCAGGGAGACCTAATTGCAGCCTTCTGGTACCTGAGGAGGCCTGCAAGAAAGCTGGAGAGGGACTTTGTACAAGGGCATGTAGTGACAGGACAAGGTGTAATGGCTTCAAGCTGAAAGAGGGTTGATTTATGTTAGATGTAATGAAGAGAGTCTTCACTATGAGGGTGGTGAGGCACTGGAACAGGTTGCCTAGAGAAGCTGTGGATGTCCCCTGCCTGGAAGCGTTCAAGGCCAGGTTGAATGGGACTTTGAGCAACCTGGTGTAGTGGAAGGTGTCCCTGCCCATGGCAGGGCGTTGGACTAGATGACCTATGAGGTCCCTTCCAACCCAAACTGTTCTATGATTCTGTATGTGCCTGAAGAAGACGCTTCTGGAATTCATATGCTAGCTGGTAGGGCTAAACATGAAGCGACCGCAAAGGAGTTACTCCCCCAGTACGTGCTTAAAGATGTCATCATGCTGCAGTGTGGCAGATGAGGAGTGGCACACTCCTATAGCTATTCAGCTTGGAACGAGTGGTTACACAGAAGAGGAAGGAACTTCACAGCATCCTCATTTTCCAAACTCTTCTTGCTATGTCAGGTAGAAGGACTGTTCCCATCTAGGAGAGCTAGCTGCAGCCTCAGTGTCTGATGAGATGGCCAAGATCTAAATCAGATGAGCAACTGCCTGCTCTGCTCCTTCCTTCCCTGTCCTTGTGGCGACACTAACTATAAATAGCAGAGCTGTGGCTGGCAAGAATAGACTCAGTATCATGCACTCTGGTTATGTCTGTCAGCTTCACGTCCCTGAAACTCTGGAGCACAGTGGCCAAGAGCTTTAGAGCTGTTGCTATTGTATGGGAAACACTTTCTTCCAGAGCTTGTCGCATCGGGTGATTCTGCCCAATTCACATTGCTTTTTTAAAAAAGGTACTTTTAAAACATCTGTAGCTCATCTTCCAGGACAACATTATGACTGCATGAAAGAGGTCAGGAGAGGTGCCTGAATACTGCCAGTACCTCTTCCAGGCTGCCATCTTGAGAGCGTGACTATGTAGAGCTACCCTCACCATGATTTTTTTCTCCGATCGTGCTGTGGAGTCATATATTCAGAGAACAGCCTTGGTTTTGAACAGGACATTGGGAAAAGCTTTCCAGCGTAAAGCTCCCAATGCAACCAGGAAGACAAGTGCAGAGGAGGAACAACATCGGAGAGAGACCGTGCGTACGCACTAGTGCGTGATGCAGTATGAAAGTGTGGCTTCCGCTTCGCGTCATGACTAGTACTGTAAACATCACCACTTTTCAGGCAAAATCTGAAGATTCCCATTTCATTGATTACATCAGTGCTCTCAAATGCAGTTCGCTGTACCTAGGTGGTAAGAATTGCTGTTAGACTTTTAAGTGAAAAAAGTGCAGCATATGGGAAGCCTACAGCTTTGCCTGGAGCGATGCTTTAGAAACTACTGAAGCTAGGTTTTGCTGAAAAGTGTATTTACTTAAAGCCAAACCCTTCAGCTTTTACTCATAAAAGGACACACTTGTAATAACGAGATCAGGCCACTTGCATGCAAACTCAAAGACATAATTATGTGCTAAATTGTACTAGTTATATGCTAATGTAACTCTTGCTATCATTGCAATGCAGCATTGGACCTTATACAACAGCTTCAAATATGCCACAGTAAATTTTAGTATTTTTAGAGATACTGCTAACAGATTAGTCTTAAATCAAATACTAGGTTAGGATTCTGCAAATTTCGTCTCGTTAATGATCTGACCTGCACACTGCCGGCTTCACTTGCTTATTCAGGATTATTTTGGGATGTTGCTTATGCAAAGTGCTGAAGGAGAACAATGTGCACGGTTTAGGAACACGCACTGCGCCCACCTGGTCCGCTCCGGTGAACGCCTGAAATGGGGGTGCTGAAGTTAATAGCTGCTGCTTTCAGTTGTCCTTGGAGAGAGTGGGGGGAATTCGTACCTCCTGAGGGCTGCTGAGATCCCAGTTTGTCCGGACTGGCTCTGGGAGGTGCCCATTTCTCTCCTCTGAGTGCAACGAAAGCTGCTGCTTTCTTTGTTCAGCAGTAAGTGAGGTAGAATAGATTCAAGCTTTGCGGTCAGAGGGCAGCTCTGTGTTTCTACCTTGTTATCACACAGAATGGTTTGTAGGTCCAGAACCCACCCAGGTTTCACTGTTTGGTCAGGTTTGTTTATGTGTTGCCTCACAAGGTCAGGTGTGCGTGACATTTGTAAAGATGAGATTGGTGCCTTCACGTCTATTGCGGAGGCTCAGGAACTGTGATTGCAACAAGACCTCATGGCAAACAGGCATTAACCTCTTGGGTGTTACTAGTTTCTTTTGTCCCACCTCCGGCAAGTGAGAAACCAATGCGAGGAATAAAGAACGATAACCCCATCAGAGGAATCAGGAGAAACAAATAAAAAATGCCTCAAGAGACAATGGCTTTGCGTCCTATCTGAGAAGCTAAAAAGTCTCTGCATACCATCTGAGAAGCTATCGGTCTTCTCATCAGCCAAACTTGGCGTCTGTTCAACTGAATATGTATTTAATTTTCCCAGCTGGAAATTTAAATTTTTTCAGCTGGAAAAATCAGGCAGACATCGATCCCCTGCTTCTGAACCAGCAGCACAAAGAATTGTGGCGATCAAAGAGAACTTGCCCCTGTGTTTGAACGTTTAAGCATGTGCTCGCTTTGCTGCTTGGTGGTTAGCTGGTTACCTGCGTTTGCGTGTGGAAATCTTTGTTCTTGCGCTGTGTTCTTTCTCTGGAATGCTATGAGCAGTTGTTTTTGTTTGTTCATACTCGGGTGGAGCTAACTGTCTAATTGGGTAAATGTTTGCAATGTTATACTTGCATGCACAGAAGACAAAGAAAGCTGGGTTCCTACTGACATAAATGGCCTTTTACACCAGCCCGGCAATGTAAAGGCTTAAATAAACCTGATAACTACAAGGCCCCTTGTTATGGTCAGACCGTATAAAGTGGATTTAGTATAAATAACTGTCATGTCCATATTTATTTCTAATTACAGATGGACTACATTTTCCAGTTGGGAGGTCTTGTGATTACAGCCATGGAGGGGGAAGCTGCCTTGTTCACTGACTTCAATGTTCAAAAGCACTTGGCTTCCACTGGGACTTAGCCCTGTTGAAAAACAAGGCACTTATTTACCAGACTGTCTTTGGATATCAAGGGTGAGTTTTACACAGATGTAGAAATTTCCTAAGTGAACGTTAATAGAGCCAAATGCCTGAAGCTGTTTTGAAAATTACAGGCTTGTGGTGCTCACGGAAGGCGGGTTTGTATATATAATAAATACCTTGTATAAACCTTACCAGGTGACTACTGCGTGTGTTACGATTAGCTAAGCTACAAAGTGCGCTATAAAGATCTACACACGTATGAACAGATTGTCGTGAAGACTTACGACTGAAGAGGCTGCTAATAGGCAATTGAGCCTTTCTTTGTGCAAAGGTTAATAAAAATGGTTGTGACACGTGGAGAAGTGAAACTGAACTCCACAGTTGAGGTGGTGTGTGGACCTGACCCTAGTTCAGCTTCTATATAGCTGTAGCTGTTAAAAGCCTGGAGCTTATCGTGAACTGATCTATCCTGCCTAGTCTTGAAAGAATTGCGTAGTCCCAAGGTGCCATTGCTTCATGCATGCCTTAAGGGAACAAGTGC